GCTCAAGGTGACCTGCTCCATAACCTTCCCCGGCACTGAGGTCACACTGACAGGCCTGTGGTTCCCCGGATCCTCCCTCTGGCCCTTCTTGTAGATGGGCATCACATTTGCTAATTTCCAGTCAACTGGGACCTCCTCGGTTAGCCAGGACTGCTGATAAATGATGGAAAGTGGCTTAGTGAGCACTTCTGCCAGCTCCCTCAGTACCCTTGGGAGGATCCCATCTGGCCCCATAGACTTGTATGTGTCTAAGTGGCGTAGCAGGTCACTAACCATTTCCCCTTGGATGATGGGGGCTTCATTCTGCTCCCCATCCCTGTCTTCCAGCTCAGAGGACTGGGTACCTGGAGAACAACTGGTCTTTCTATTAAAGACTGAGGCAAAGAAGACATTAAGTACCTCAGCCTTTTCCTCATCCTTTGTCACTATGTTTCCCCCCGCATCCAATAAAGGATGGAGAGTCTGCTTAGCCTTCCTTTTGTTGCTAATGTATTTATAGAAACATTTCAAATTGTCTTTTATGGCAGTAGGCAGATTAAGTTCTAGTTGGGCTTTGGCCCTTCTAATTTTCTCCCTGCATAACCTCACGACACCCTTGTAGTCCTCCTGAGTTGCCTGCCCCTTCTTCAAGGGTCATAAACTCTCCTTTTTTTTCCTGAGTTCCGGCCAAAGCTCTCTGTTCAGCCGGGCCGGTCTTCTTCCCAGCCAGCTTGTCTTTCGGCACATGGGAACGGCTTGCTCCTGTGCCTTTAAGATTTCCTCCTTGAAGAATGTCCAGCCTTCCCGGACTCCTCTGCCCTTCAGGACTGCCTCCCAAGGGACTCTGTCAACCAGTCTCCTAAACAGGCCAAAGTCTGCCTTCTGGAAGTCCAAGGTAGCAGTTCTGCTGGCCAGACCCTTGGCTGACATAACCTGACATGGCTCCAGTGGCTTCATTTTCAGTTTTGAACAAGTTAAGTTCTAACATCTTTAATTATACACATCTCTGGCCAGTATAAACCTATGTGAGATCGGGATGCCTGGATCTCATGTGTGCCATTAAAATATTTCCTAGGACTTTTGGACTCTACAGCAGTGAAAAATGGTCTTTTGGATCATATACCAAAATCATGAGAAAATCCTGCAGCACTGGATAGGCACAAGGGCAGATTTCATGACTGCATTAGTCTCTGCTATCTAAAAATACTTTAGATCTGTCTGGCACAATTAGATGGGAGCAAATCTGGGGCAGATATGCCCTAGGCTTTGCCAGCTACAGCTCTGGCCATCTCCCTCCACTCACCCAGAGGGGAAATGGGGGGTGTGATCAATAGGAGACAGCAGTGCTTGAAAAATGCTAGTGGCTACAAGGACAGGGGTGGTGGTGGCAGGGAGATGTCTCACTTACAACATATTTTCCTACAGTTCTGCATAGATTCATTGACTGAGAAAGCCCAGAGTAGCTTTCTACACTAAGCAGTGCTTACTTGCCTGTTGACTTGCAAGATTCTTCTAGCAAATAGACTACAGGTTGTTTCTTTGGTGTCATCTAATGAATTTTTTTTTTGTCTCTGCTTCTTCCAGCTCCAAGGCTCCTTGAAGAGAAAGTTGGTGGTAAATCTGTCACCTGTCAACAACAAGAGGCCCAATGGTGTTTCAGAGAGCTCCTTCCTTGACATTAAGAGGATAAGAGTGGGTGATAATATCTCAGTGGGACAAGGTGGACAACATGTTAACAATTGCCAAAGCCAGTCAATGTCAGGAACTATGTCTGTGGGGCAAGGATCACAAAGAAAGGCCAGCAACCTAGCAAACAATACACATGCTAGTGGGAATGGCATGTTTAATATGACTTTGAAAGAGGTAAAGAAAGAACCAGGAGAAACAATGTCCTGCAGCAAACACTTAGATGGCCAGACATCCCATGAGAACATGTTCCCTAACAGATATGGGGAAGACTCGTGGGAACAAATGATGGATCTGGAGCTTCAGGAACTATTTAATGAACTGACTAACATATCAGTGCCACCAATGAGTGATCTTGAGCTCGAGAATATGATAAATGCCACAATAAAACAAGATGAGCCATTCAACATTGACCTTGGGCAGCAGAGCCAAAGGGGGCCTGTGAGATCTCTGCAGATGGATAAGATGGTGATAAAGAGTGAATATGCACCAGGCATGAATCAGGCTCCTGTGGGCTCCCCACAGGTGAGGCCTTCTTCTACAGGTCCAGCCTTCACCATGGCCACCACTGCCATGTCCACCTCTTCACCCATCCCTTCGGTGCCTCAGAGTCAAACACAGGTATCGCAGGTTTCTTCTGCGTCCAGTCGGCCATTGCCTAACTGGCAGGAGGTGTCTCATGCACAGCAGCTCAAACAGATCGCAGCCAACCGGCAGCAGCATGCCTTGATTCAGCAGCAACAGCAGCAGCAGAACCAGACGGCCAACTGGTCCACCTTGTCTCCATCAGGACCTTCCCCTGGACCCTTTGTGCAAGAGAAAATCCCCAGTCCTTCTTTTCGCCAGCAGCAGTTCAGCCCACAAAGCTCAGCAATGCTTGGGGTACCAGTGAATGGAAACCAGTCGAAAGGGATGAACAACTATGTTTATAAACCAACCACTCCCCAGAGCAATCCCATGGACATAATCATGCAACAGAAGCCTCAGGACCTCAACAGAAACTTTATCAACAGCGCTCAGCCACCACTAGAGCAGCATCATGGCAACACAAAGCCTTTGTTTCACTTTAACTCAGAGCAAACAAACCAGCAGATGCCTTCAGTTTTGGGTTCCCAAAACAAGCCTGCCCTTCTGCACTACACGCAGCAGGCACAGGGTTCAGCCCCCGTGCAACAGCCTCAGCAACAGCAGCAACAACAGCCACAGCCGCAACCTGCTCAGCCTATCCCAAACCCGTCTCTTCAAAGGCCACCTACTGTACCCCTAGCAATGCAGCAAAAAATGATGCTTCAGAAAATGCAGCAAAGCCAGCAAATCTCAGGTTTGCAGTATCCAGTCCCTCAGCAGCATAGACAGGTAAGGCAAATTCCTCCTTATTTGTTACAGAATCATTCTGGTCTGAGTAGTAAAAAGGCTTTTCCAGCCTGGCCTCATTCCTCCAGGAGATGTGTACTGGTGGCGGATAATGACCATCTCAGCACATACTTCAGCAGAGCTGGTGATGGCACGTTTAGCACCTATTCAGGTATACCATGGATGCACATTTATAAGAATTTCAAGAAAGACATGTTCATAACATATTTTCTTAATGCAATGGAGTGAATATGTCACTGATATATATTATGTAGATACTTGTCAGAAAGGTGAGATAGCAGAGCAGATGCAAGCTTATTTTGGACTCCTATCTAAGTTTTCTAGTTTACAAAAATTTAACCTCTTTTGAATGGCAAATTTTCAATAAATTCCTATGTTATCTTAGATAATGTATTTTACAACGTTAATTTTTATGCCATCCGTTTCCTCAGGGAGGCAGGGTTAGGAAATTCTGGTTTTAGATATCTTTTGACTGACATGACAAAAATACTGTTTGCACATTTGTTATCTGTTTGGCAAAGGAAAACTAAGACTTATCTGTGAGCTTTATAAACACCCATCACACTTCTGGGAATATTCTGTGGATAAAATACGTGCTTAGATATGAAGGTGAAGGTTGCCACAGATACGTCTACAATTATATACCACATGGCCAGCTCCCATGGTGTTATCATGAGACAGTGCTCTGACACAATTGATTACTATAGCTCAGCTATTAGCATAGAAGGGCTGTGCTCCTCATAGGGCTATGTCAAGTCACTGTGCACCAGGATCCCAAGTTTCAGACCTGCCAATTGAAGTTTGAATATGTAACCTCACTGTACCCCAGAAACTGGAAACCAGGTGCAAAACAAGTAAAACAGGTATGTGATCTTGGGACTTTTAAGCCACTCTGGGGAGTTTTGGTGGGGCAAATATCATTTAACACAGTTGAGGGTATGGAATGGCAATGTATGTGTGGAGATCATTCGTAGATTTCTTATATGTGAAAAACAGCTATAAGAAACTACTGAAAAGTGAAAGCCTAAGTCTTCCATAAAGTCCCAGAGAAGCAGCATTGTGAATGAATCATTCAGAACTGGAGTTTCTTGGCCAAACTGTTTGGGTGAACAGTCTGATGTTTAAAAAAAAAAGTAAATATAGTTGTATGCATGGAAACCTTTCTTCTTTTAACTCTTTTAAACTCCCTGACCAGCCAACCATGACTTTCTCCAACAGAGAATCCCTTAGCAAGAGATGCAAGGTGAAACATTTAGGCAGCTTTGGGTGGGGAGATGTTGCTTTGTTGGGAGATGCTGAAGAATGAGCATTGGCAGGAAGCAAGCACAGCTACAGCTTTGCTGTTTTACGGGAGGTCTTTGCTGGCTGTTCCTCTCCTTCTTGGGCCACTGTGTGCTCTCTTCTTAGGCTCATTTCCCCATTCTCTTAATAGACTGGCAGGGAGATGAATTTTAACAGTTTCTTCATTCAGCCATGATGAAGCTTCCAGAAATCTGTCAGCACAGGGGAGACAGGCAGGACTTCTGCAAACACTACTATTTTTGTGAAAAAAATATGCAAGGTCACATTCTGGAAAGGAATAAAAACAGTGAGAGCAACTCTGCTTGAGACGATGTTAGCTCCTTGCTCTGTGTCCTCTTGGGCTGCTGCTCAGGGAGGCAAGCCAACAAGATGGTACTTGGCAACATGGCTGTAGTGGTACTTGAAAGATTTATCATGAGTGTTGTGGGATCTCTCACCTGTGCAGCCACAAGGTCTTTTGGCTTAGGGGAAACTTTCCCTAAATGAACTCTGCTAAGTGCCAAACTTCAGATATTACACCAAGGAAGGAGTTTTGCCTATCAACACAGACTTCTGCAAGTAGCCTTCCAAAGTTTCTTGTCATCTGACCACTTTCTACAGTTTTGACTGCAGGACATGGCTACCTGACCCACAGCACAGCTGAGAAGCTTAGAAGCACAGATTACGGGGCTTTTGCAGCAAGAATGATGTTGTTTCTATGCTCTAGAGAGATAACTGGGCTTTTTTAGAGATCCAGTTGTTCCAAAGTTCTGCTGAAATTCAGAAGATCAGGTAGGTCTCTCTCAGTAGAGTATTCTGTAGCTGCTGGAATGATACTTAGAAATACAGGTGGTCCATAAACAGCAGGATTTTGGATTGGTTTGAACATAACTCTTCACCTGGCAATATTTATGAATTATGTGAACTCCTTTAGGGCCTGTCTGTGCAGCTGCAAGAGCCCACCAGCCCCTTGGTCAGGCCTGCTTGTCCCCATAGGTCCAGTGTGAATATTAAATCAGAGTGGGAGGAGACACCCCTAACATTATATTTCAATAAAGATAACAAAGGTCAAAGCAACCTCGTGGGTCAACTCCCGCTGATTTTAGCAATGGGGACATCACCTCGTTTAGGCTGCATGGTCTTCGTTCCTGGAGGCTCATCTTCCACCTCTGAGGATTCCTACACATCATTAACAGTAATGCATGATTAATCACCAGCATTTACTAATTAACTTAATGATTAATATTTATTTTACTTATTCCCTATTTCTTCATGAGGAATCAAGGTTTGATTCTGCTTGGTATCATTCAACTCCTCCTCAGATCATTATAATTGTGGACTATAAGCGCCATCTCAGTACTGGCTGGAGTGCTTTGTAGCTGGAAATGTGAGTGCACATTCATAAACAGCTGCTATGACATTGCCACCAGATAACACTGACTGGAACACTATAAATTCACATTTTTAGCTGAACCAGCTCACCCTCTGGATTTTTAGTCCCCAAGTTTTAAGATCCCAAAAAAGCATTTGAACTTGACTTTATCAGCCCAAGCTTGCTAACTGGAAATGTAAGGCTTATAATTTCTCTGCTTGTCACATTCACTTTGTGTCAAGTCTGAGCGAACTTGTAGTGGGATTTGCTAATTAGATGTCTTTTGCCTCTAGGGAAAAGTCATAAAAATGATGGAAATCATCTTGGTTTCCTGGAAGGTTGATCTGAATGCGGGTTTTGTTTGCTTCTCTGTTTTATTCTCC